GCCCGCCCGCCCTCCAGACCCGCCTCGGAGGCCGGGGCTGCGGTGGGGCGGCGCCTGCTCTGCCCCGCCCGCTCCAACCCCGACCTCTCCCGCAGGCGGAGATGCAGCTGCTCCTGCTCCTGCTCGCGGCCCTGCTGCTGGCCCCGGCGCCCGGGGCCTCGGTGAGTGCGGCCCTGTCCGGGCCGGGTGGCCCTGCTGGGGGCCGGGTGCCGGCTGGGGTCCCCACCGGGGTCCCCACCCATCCCCCCTCCCGTCCCCTGGCGGTGGCGACAACCCTAGGAGAGGGCCAAGGTCGGGGAGATGGGGTGGGAGGAGGCGAGTCCTCAGCCTGAGCTCCTTCAAAAAGAGGTAGGACAGGGCTGACCTAGGCGGCCAGAACTGCTCCCCTGGCCGGGGTGCAGTTTGCAATTGCAGGGATGGCACCCCCTCAGCATCACCCCCTCAGAAGGTGCTGGGTGCAGCTAATGCTGGAAACCCCCTCCCTGGGGTGGTCTTCCTGGGTGGGAGGAGGGGGGCCATGCTGGCACCAGCCAAGGTGAGAGCTAGGTGGTCCCCTCCACCAGATGCCGGGGACCAAACCCTGCTGTCCCTCAGCCTTGTGGGCCTAGGGGCTTGGGGTGCCAGCCATTCCGCCCCCTGGGGGTGAGCATCTGGAACAGGGCTGCACTAGAACTTTCTGAGATGCTGGAAATATTTTCCATCTGTGCTTTCGAATAAGATAGCCACTGTGTCCACGTGGCTGTTGAGCACGGGAACAGTGGCTAGAGCAACTGAGGACCTGAATTTTTAAATTTGATTTTAATTAATTTAAATAGCCACACGGTGCTAGTGGCTACCTCACTGGTGCAAATGTAGAGAGTGGGCACAGAGAGCCAACTGGTGAGCCGAGTAGCTGTTTCATTAACAGGAGCCAGAGGACAGGGCTCCCTGGAGAGCATGCGTGGATCCTGAGACAAGGGAATCTTCTACCCGAGGCAGCTACGTTTAGGGGGCAGGTCACTGCTCTGCGGTTGTCTGCAGAGCTGGGCGTGGTCCTGCCAAGTTCCCTGGCATTGCCGGGTGGAAGGCACAGGGGCAGCCAGGCCCCCGCCTGCCCTGGGGAGCTCAGCCTTGCCCTTCCTCAGTGAGGCGGGAGGGAGAGGAAGGACTGAGCATGCTGCCTGGGATGGGCCGGGGGACATGTGAGCTCTGGGGGAGTGTGAGCTGAGGATGAGAAGGGCCCGGAGGGCAGGCAGCGGTGGGCAGCCGGCATTCCTCCAAAGCCCAGCGATCTAGCACAGGCCACCGAGCCGTGGTGGGCTCCTTCCTCGTGGCCTCTCCACCACCTGCCAGGTTCCCACAGTCAAGTCTGCATGGTCCTTGCTCCCTAAGTGCCACGGCAGGTCCTTGGGGGGCTCCTCCTGGTGCCGGTGCACGAAGGCCACAGCTCAGTGGAAGGGTCCGCGGCACCGGCCTCAAACCCCAGGGTGAAGCCCAGAGACACCCACTAATGACAAATCAGCCAGATTCCTTCAATTTGGGGTAATCATGCCGCCCGCAGGTTGCCGTGCAGATGAGATGAGTGAGGGTTCCCAGTGTCCTGGGCCCTATTAGGTGCTCTCTCCCTTAGGGACACCTGAGTAGCCGACCTGCTCAGCAGTGGGTGAACTCAGCTGGGCTGGGCCTGCGGGGCCGAGCACTCTCCTGCCCCCTCCTCCACTGTCCGGGGGAGGGTGTGGGCCAGGCTCACTGCTCTGCGGCCCCTGGTTCTGGTTCTGGCTGGGGCAGATCCACCACAGGGCCCCCCAGCCGTTCTCGGGCTGTTCTAGTGCCGGCAGGGGGCAGCTTCAACAGTGAGTGGAGGATAAGAAGGGACGAAGCAGAGAGTGGCTCTGCCACCACGCCCCTCCCCCCTCCCCCAACCCGGTGCGGGGAGGCTTCCTGAGGCCATGGGTTCCCAGCCCCCTGGACTCCCACACACACACACCTCCTCTCTCATACCCCTCACACCTGTTCCCTGTGGGCAGCCGGTCCCCCTGGGGAAGGGGGGCTCCTTGCCCCGTGGGAGTTGCAGGAGGAGTGGGCGGGGTGCTGAGAGCAGCAGGAGGCAGGTGAGGACAGGCCAGGTGCGGGCGGACTGGACCAGCTCACTCTGGCTTCCCAAGTCAGCCCAGCTTGTGGTTTGGGTAATTACAGGGAAACAAAATGCGCCCTTGCCGCTCCTGGCTGAATGTGCTTTCCTCCCTCAGAGACAGTGTGTGTAGTGGACAGGCACAGCCCGGATCTGGCAGGCTGGGTCCCCCAGTCCCACCGGCTGGTGGCCCTGGGCCGGCGGATGCCTGCCTCACAGGTGCCGGGAGGGCGCAGCCAGGGGATGCTTGGACGGCTCGGTGTTCAGGCCAGTCCTCCCCCACCCCATCCTCGCCCCCACAGGGTGGCTGGTGGCAGAGGGGTCCCTGTTGCCTTGTCCGCACAGTAAGCCCAGCCCTGCCCCGGGAAGGTGGGTTGGAGAGGCTTAGAGGCTGTGCTTCAGGAGCGAGACTGACACGCAGACAGGCCTTGGGCAGCGGGTAATTAGTAACCAGACCACGGCCAGCAGGATGAGAAAGCGCAGTCCCTGTGGCCGCAGCTTAGAATGTGTTGATGAGGCTGTGCATGTGTGAGTGAGTGTGTGTGTGTGTGTGAGTGTGTGTGTGTGTGTGTGTGTGTGTGTGCTGGTCGGCCCTGGAAAGTCACCTTCCACCCTCGACACTCAATGTCTTCCCCTTTAAGACAGAAACTTGATCAAGTGAATTCCAGCTTAAATTTCATTGAGAGAACACCTGGCTGTTCTGGTTCACTGGTTTTCAGGAGCCTGGCCATTCCGCCCCAGCCAGAACTGAGGATAAAGAGTTTGAAGCGTGAAAGCTAAGACCTTTGGTCTGGCCGGCCCTTCCTTCTTGGTTTCGTGTGTGGTTCAGCACATTCGTGTGGTTTGTGGTGACTCAGGGTGCTGGTTCTATTGTAAAGCCAGGATCACTCGGCGGCGTCCGGCACCAGGGGTGTTAGAGCTGAGCTGTGGGTGAAGTGTGGGCCCATGAACTCGCCTGAGACCCTGTGCCGTTGCTGGGGGCTCGCAGCAGGAGGGGGGGCTTGCTTTCCCACATTAGGCCTTGAGTTCTTTCTCTGGAAATTGGGAGTGATTCCCCCCTAGAGATTCGTAGGTGGTGATGCCCTAAAATAAAGTCCCTTCCAGCAAATAGGACATAACCTCTGCCTCCTGGCAAGCAGTGGTCAGCCCAACCCCTGCCCAGCCCCTTAGGGCTCATCTGTGTCTCACGTAGGTGGGACGGAGGCTTGGGGCGAAGCTGACGTGCTGTTGCGTCCACTTGTTGATGCGTGGCTCCTCTCTGCCTCCTTATCCATGCACTGGGGGAATACTACCCCCCCCCCAGCTGCTGTGCGATGACATCAGCGTTCCCTGAGTGCCTGGGTCCTACCAGGTACTTTCTCCCTTAGAAACACGGAGTAGCCTTCGACCTCCTCGCAGTGGGTGCCCAGATGTCAGGTTGCTCTGAGGATTAAACGAGAGAACATGTGTGTCACATGTGGACTTCCAGTTGCAGCTGCAGGTGTCAGATCTTTCTGGTGGAATATTATCTATGAGGATATATTCTTGTTATGGAGTCGCAGATAACAGTCCTTCAACAAGAGGGAGGCGACCCCTTTCCCACTTAAATACCCAGAGGTCAGAAGTCCAGGTTTGTTTGGTCTCACAAACCTGGGGTGACTGGAGCCCCCGGAGCCAGACCTGCGGAGGATCCTTCTATCTTTGCTGCACTGTTTGAAGCCTCTATTCCTGAGTTACCTCACAGTGTAAAAGGCTGCTCCGACTCCAGCCATCCCACCTGCTTGCCAAGCAACAGGGAGGAGTACAGGAGAAAGAAGGAGGACAAACGCACGTGCAAGCTGTCTCTTGAGATTACTGGGGGCTGCTGCCCAACACTTACATCTCATTGATGAGAATTACTGATATAGCCACGGTAGCTGCAGGAAGTCTGGGAAATGGATGGGATGGGGGGAGCAGCCTGGTGTCCAGCTACGAGTCAAGGATTCCCTTACCATGGGAGAAGGGGAAGGTAGACGCTGGGGAACTCCTGGGAGTCTGCCCAGAGTGGCCGGAAGGAACCACAACCTCCCCCCAACCCCTCCTAGGAGTAGATTAATTTATTTCAATAGCCCAGAACCACAGACCCTTCCCGAGGGAGGCCACCACACAGGGCAGAAGCAAGTGCAACAGGCGCGGTGTGGCTGTTCCACGCTGGGTGCTGGGGAAGCATGGCCCTGCCTGCGGGCGACACCTGCACAGGCTGCCTGTCTTCCTGCCCTTTGCTGTCTCCCTCCTGGGAAAGTCTGCTCTGCTGACCCAGGGGCTCCCCGAAAGGCAGTTTGCAGGCATCTCGACTGTCAAATCGGACTCTGCACAGGCCAGTGGAGAGCATGGTCAGGGAGCATGGTGCCTGGCACGGAGCAGGAGCAGCCGTAGTGGCTGCTGGGACAGATGGAAGACCTGCTCCGGCTCCTTCTGGTGAAAGCTGGCTGGCGGTAGATTATGCGGAGACGCCTGGCGGTGCTGCTGGGTCCGGAAGAGCGGCTCCAGGAGGAAGAGCGCCCCTGACGCCCTGCGGGGGTGGGGAGTGTTGTTTGTAGGCAGGGCTGGCGTGAGCCTCTGGGTGCCCTGGTGGGGACCCTGGGTGCTGACTCAGGTTCCTGAGCGTGTCTTCTCCTCCAGGCTCCCAAGGTGAGGCGGCAGAGTGACACCTGGGGCCCCTGGGGTGACTGGAGCCCCTGCAGCCGGACCTGCGGAGGGGGCATCAGCTTCAGGGAGCGTTTCTGCTACTCGCAGAGGTAGGGCAGCCTGTGAAAGCAGGACAGGGGTTGGGATCATCTGGGTCCTGGGTCACCTGGGCAGAACCCCCCATGCAGTAGCTTTGTCCTGGGTGCAACATGGATGGAGTACTTGAAATCCATCATTTCCGGGTACTTCCACTTGACTTCCATTATCAGCTGTATTTCGGGGGGTTGGAGCCAAGCCTGCTTCATCCACCCCTGAGTCTCTTGCTCCCAATGCAGTGAGAGCTCACGGCAGGTGCAGTAAATTCCCGTCAAATTAATCTTCAGCGATGCTAACCTGTGCAGTGTCTCTACCTTCAGCCTTTGTCAAGTATAGATCTTTCCCTTCACGTGACTTAAGACCTACTATGTGTCCTGTGCCCTGATAGGTGCTATAGAGGGTGGGCACAAAAGAAGGGGCGATGACACCTTGCCTGTCATGGGTTTAAGTCACTCTGAGAACCTGTGAGAAGACCAGAGTGAGATGCTATTCCAGGTGCCTGGTTCTCCTTACGCGGCAGAATCACCTAACCAGGTGGGGGCATTTACACCCCGTTTCACCTCCAAGAGCAGAACTCGGGGCTTCTCTGGAAATTTACCTCCAGAGGCAGAGTGGCCCCCAGTTAGTCAAACTCCAGGAAGGCTGGGCTCTGAGTCTCCTCCCAAATACAAACGAGGGGCTCAGGGCACCTACTGAGGGGACTTATGTGTGTGGGCAGCCCCCCCCACCTCCGCAGATGGACTTGCCCTCTCTGGCCCGCAGAGGAGTCCCACAGAGGCTGGGGCTGCGGGAGGGCCCGGGAGGACTGGGGTGCTGGGTTACTGGTGCTCTTGTCCCACAGGAGAGATGGGGGCTCCAGCTGCGTGGGCCCCGCTCGCAGACACCGCTTGTGCCACATCGAGGTAAAGCCCACGTAGGGTGGGGGGCCAGCTTCCTAGACCCCCCACCTGGGGACATCCCGGCCCAGGGGGCCTCCTGTCCGTGCACCGCGGGTGTGGAAGTCCCTTCCTCACCCCCAATGACAGAAAGGAC